TATATATATATATATATATTTATTTATTTATTTATTTATTTATTTATTTATATATAGCAAATTGGTCGAATACGCAATAGGGCACTTCCCGGCGCCGCAGGCGCTTCAAATTTGGCAGGTACCTGCATTGGGGCAATAGAACACGGGGGGTCGGTGCCGGTTGGTCGCAAAGTCCACGAAGAGAGGGTCAAAACCTACCTCGACTGACCGGCGCCTTATATGAGCTATATTACGAAAAGAACTTTTGCCGAACCGCCCCCCTCCCCCCACCTTGATATTATGTGAGGTCGTAGACTAACACTGGAGGGTAACAAAAAAACATTCCCGTCGGAAGATTACTCAAACTGTTCATATTTAGGCCCTAAGCACTCCACATAAATGCCAATCCACAAGTAATTATTCATTCAAATTCTCAAAAGTGTTTTGAAAACTCAAGCGAAGCAAGGCAGTATGCCTAGCACATATATATATATATATATATATATATATATATATATATATATATATATATATATATATATATATATATATATATATATATATATAATTTGAAAAAAAATTTTTTTTTTTTAAATTTATCTTTTGTTACGGTGGGGGGGGGGGGGGGGGGGTGACACCATTAAGTGCCGCACCGGGTGATACCCGACCTCGCTACGCCAGCGGGGTGAATACATTTGTAAATATGGATTTTCATCTCTTGTGCATGAAGAAATTGGCCCCCGAACTGAAATTTGATAGTTTATGCGGCCCTCGGATTGAAAAGTTTTGAGACCCCTGCATTAGATGATAAAATTTAGTAAAAAAAAAATTTAAAAAAAAAAAATAATCAAGGGGCAATATCAAAATATAAATCATCAACTCTTGTGTTTAGGTGACATGTAGCTGCACCTCAAGTTTGCAAACAGAAAATGTAATTAAAAATAAAAATTTAATATAATGATTGTTTTTAAGACTGTTTTAAAACGTTTCTTATATAAATTGTTCAACGGCAAACCTTGTTTACCTCTTATGTAAAACAATTCTAGCACTCTCCTCGGTTCTCCATTTAAAATAAAGAATCAATTAGGTGGGTGGTATTGCAAGTAATCTTGTACCTTCTTGTATACAGAGTATAGAGAAAGTATTGTAATTTTGCACACTAATTTTAATGTAATTTTGACAAGTTTGTACCGTTTTACACCTTTATTCTATAACGTATACATAATATAAAGGATGTATTACGATATTTCATTTAAAAAATCTAAATCAAGATTGGGATAAATTGGGAATTTTACAACCATCCGGAGGCAAAAAAAAGGTTTGCAATAATGTCCGTTTCAGTTAGCTTGACATAATTTCATGTATAAGTATTATAGCAAATTTGATGTTTTTCTAAAATTTTGAACGATTTCCGAAAAACGTAACAGGTGTTTACTTTACTTACGGTTTATCAAAAGCCTATATCTGGTGAACCGTTTAAGTTTTGTTGACGAAATTATACTTTTGTATTTCGGATTTCTTTAAAAAACGTCTTTATTTTGATGCTTGTAATATCATTTTTTATCATTTAATATCATACTCACATACAGCATAAAAAAAGAGGGTTTTGTCACTAATTTTCTATAGCCCAACTGCACTTTAAGTGTATCCAATCCCTTATTTTTAAGAATATACGAGAAAGTTTAAAGTAGATCAATCCCGCTTTATTTTGTTTTGCCTCAGAAACTGCTAGACCAGCATGGCCGACACGACCAAATTTAGCTTTAATTAAAACATGTTTTCTTTATATTGCTATATAACAGCTAGCAGCATACCCGGGTTTCTTTAAATACATATTTTTTTTCTATGAAATGTCTCTATCACAATAAAAAAAAAATCTTCTGTAAGTTTAAAGAACATCAACGAATTGACCAAAGAAGAACATTTTAGAAACTTAAAAAGAGGTCTACTTATCTGTAATCATGTTCCTTTATTTAACATTGGTTTGGGAAAAACAAGGAACGCAAATTAAACCGTAAAATAGAATATTTAAGCTCGAAAAGCAATTTACCTATTCATTTCTATTCTTTAAGAAGCTTTAGAAAGAAAAAAAAAACAGGAATCACCGTTTAATAAATAATGAAAAATATATTGAACTGTTAAAAATTGTATACATTTGCATTAAATATTTCTTTGTTTTGGTTGATTCCCATTTGTAAATTTTAAATCTAATAAGGGGAAACAACACATTTCCCGATTTTCGCTACAGAACGAAAATTATAATGAAATGGAAACGAAAAACGATTGTTTAAATTGTTATCTCAAACAATAGTAATATTTATGAAACATACTGTTTTCTCTTATTTTTTTTTTTTCATTTTGAATATTTAATTTGCTTTATAATATATTGGAAAGCTTAGCACAATGACCTGCTGAATGTTTTAAGAAATGAAACCAACTCAGAATATTAAGAAGCACATTATCAAATCAAGTTATAATTTTGGATCCCTTAATCAAGGGACAAGATCATATTGTTCGTTTTCACCCAGTCTTAGAGTTTAATCGATCATTTGCTGCTGTTTAAGTTTGCAAATAATATTGTATTATAATAATCTAATAACATAACTTATTTTATCATAGTTTAAAACGCTCTTTCGTTGTTTTTTTAAATAAATGGTTTTGCGGCAAACCTTGTATATTTCTTATGTAAACCTACTCTACTATTTCCCTGGATTGTCAATTTAACGTAGAATCGAGGAAAATAGTAAAACAACCTTAGGTTGGTGGTAATGCAAATACCTTTTTTGTAAAAAATACTGGTATATATACATAGTCCAAGTTTAGCTGAAAATTTAAAAAAAAAAGCGATTCAGGTTTTCTTTCCTGTTAATATACACCTGTACTATGTGTATCACGTGGCTAGCCTCTCCATCCAGACTGGACAGTGCTTTAGGTGTCCACATGTTGGTCAAGCCAATGATATGATTGGCCTCTAAGAATGCCGGTAACTGGTGGGTGGCGTAGGCAAGATAAGATGGCGGCATAGCACTTTTACCGCCACACATAACTAGTTCAAACAAAATATATTAAAATTAAGTGCTTATATTAGCTTGTGTCGCCCTTGGAACGACTGCGAAAAAAAACCCCGCAAAGACTGCCAAACATTTAAGTAAAACATATCACCAAATAAAAACTATACAAAAGGAACTTGTAGATGTACGTGTTAGAGAAACCTGTCTTAGAACTGTGAGCTGGCCACGGACCGAAACGTTTTAAAATCTACGAATGAAAACTCCAACATCAGTATCGTGAAACCCAAGCACTCTGTGGCATAGACGCCATACCTCATCCACATCATTATCGGCAAACAAGAAGACAATGTGACTATCTTGTTACTGTAAGATAGAGGAATAATGTGCTATAACTGCTAGACACATCTATGACATGTGTAGAATTAGTAAAATTAGTTCACGGGAAATACATTGCGGCACATCCCTAAACGGAATAGAGACAAAAGAATATTTCTTTATAATAGTTATTTCCCATATTATAATTTTAGCAAACAGGGAAACTAACCAATATCTTTAGATTGTATGTAAAAACAAAAGGATTAATACAATTTAAATTAAATTATTGTTGTATTTATTATATACTACGTAACTATTATTATTTTGTACCTAATATTTTATCCATTTTTGATAAGTTTTGAGTTTCTGAATAATTAATTTGCTATAATATATGTAGAAAAGCATTAGCTAAATGACCGGCTGCATTTTTTCAGATGTGAAACCACCGCTATATTCGTCGGTACTTTCATTCAATAAAATATACAAATTTTGGATCCCTTGAAAATCAAGGGACAAGATTAAAGTGTATGAGTAGATTTAGATGACATGTAACTGCTCTCGAAATTCGCAATCAAAAGAATGTAAAAAAAAAAATTAATACCATGATTTATTTTATCCTTGTTTAAAACGTGTCTAATGTATTGATCAACGGCAAACCCTGTTCGACTCCTATGTAAGCTATTCTTCTATCTAGTACTCACCTCGATTCTCAATTTATTGTAGAATCCACTAGGTCAGGGATCGGCAACCTTTTGAGAAGAAGAGTCAAAAGTTTCAGTTTTAAAAATGTCCCAATTTTTAAAGAGCCACTAACATTTTTATTTCAATATTATGATATTTAATTAGGATTTTGTATATATATATATATATATATATATATATATATATATATATATATATATATATATACATATATATATATATATATATATATATATATATATATCGATGGTCTCGGTCGCAAACCGTCTAACTCAAAAAAATTCGATTTTCTTTTTTTTACATAAATCAAAAGCCAATATGATTCCCCATAATGCCTGAAAATATTAGAGAAATCTGTAGAATGATTATTGAGATATAATCATTTGAACAAACCGCCTATTATTTCTAGCGCTAAAAATCTCGGCGCAAAACGAATATCGCTATATTTGTCAGTACACTTTTGATCGAGAACGCAGTCGCACGCCGCAATCACACAATTTTACAGCACAGCAGTCACAGTACTTATAGGTAAGGATATTTGATTGATTATGTTCAACTATTCTATTACATTTTATCATTTTAAAGAATAATAAACAAATAGTATTTGTTTAATATAGCCAATTTCCAGATTTTCAATAACAAAAGTGATTAGTTTAGTTTTTTATTCTAACACAATACTTTGAAACTAGATCTTCATTCTAGAATCTAAATATCAATCAAAACAATATTATTCGAATTATATTTCCACAATACTGTGCAATAAATTTAATAATAGTTAATTTACTACTAGCTTTAGATTGAGGGTTTAGATACGTGTTAAGAAATGTTTATATGGTAGGTTACAAAATGTTTTGCGTACATGCTCAACGACATGGTTAGTTGTCTTTAGTAAATGCTTTTATGATTATTTTTAGAACAGAAAAGCCTATCTCAACACACCAGCCTCTCTCAACATACCATCCTCTCTCAACATACCAGCCTCTCTCAACATACCAGCCTCCCAGCATACCAGCCTGTCTCAACACACCAGTCTTACCACATACCAGACCAGCCTCTCTCAACACACCAGCCTCTCTCAACATACCAGCCTCTCTCAACATACCAGCCTCTCTCAGCATACCAGCCTGTCTCAACACACCAGTCTTACCACATACCAGACCAGCCTCTCTCAACACACCAGCCTCTCTCAACATACCAGCCTCTCTCAACATACCAGCCTCTCTCAACATACCAGCCTCTCTCAACATACCAGCCTCTCTCAGCATACCAGCCTGTCTCAACACACCAGTCTTACCACATACCAGACCAGCCTCTCTCAACACACCAGCTTCTCTCTACATACCAGCCTCTCTCAACAGACAAGTCTCTATCAACATATCAGCCTCTCTCAAAAGACTAGCCTCTCTCAACATATCAGCCTCTATCAAAAGACCAGCCTCTCTCAAAAGACCAGCCTCTCTCAAAAGACCAGCCTCTCTCAACATACCAGCCTCTCTCAACAGACCAGCCTCTATCAACAGACCAGCCTCTCTCAACAGACAGCCGCTCTCAACATACCAGCATCTCTCAAAAGACTAGCCTCTCTCAACATATCAGCCTCTATCAAAAGACCAGCCTCTCTCAACAGACCAGCCTCTCTCAACATACCAGCCTCTCTCAACAGACAAGTCTCTATCAACAGACCAGCCTCTCTCAACATATCAGCCTCTCTTAACAGACCAGCCTCTCTCAACAGACCAGCCTCTCTCAACAGACAAGTCTCTATCAACAGACCAGCATCTCTCAACAGACCACTCTAAACCACATAACAGACCAGCCTCTATCAACAGATCAGCCTCTCTCTTCCAGACTTTTTCTCCGGGGGGGGGGGGGGGGGGGCACTAGAAATTTTCGGGGGGGCGGTAGACTTTCTTCGGGGGGGGGGGGGGGGCGGACACTGTTAAAAGTATATATTTTCTATATAAATTATATAAATTTCATTTCGTTCGGGGTGGCGGTAAAAATTTTTCGGGGGAGGGGGGGGGGCAAAGCCCACCCCCCGAAGAGATGCCTGGAAGTTACTCTGCTCTCGACAGACCAGCCTCTCTCAACAGACCAGCCTCTCTTAACAGACCAGCCTCTCTCAACATATCAGCTTCTCTCAACAGACCAGCCTCTCTCAACAGGCCAGTCTCTAGCAACAGACCAGCCTCTCTCAACAGATCAGCCTCTCTCAACAAATCAGACTCTCTCAACAGACCAGCCTCTCTTGACATACCAGCCTCTTTCAGCAGATCAACCTCTCTCAACAGACCAGCCTCTCAACATATCAGTCTCTCTCAACAGACCAGTCTTACCATACCAGCATCTGTCAACTGACAAATCGTAAAGGCACCAGCATCTCTCAACAGACCAGCCTTTCACGACAGACCAGTTGTAACATACAAAAGACCAAACTCTCTTAAATGATCAATCTTACCATACAGGACACCAGAATATATCAACAAACTTGTCTAACCCTTTAAGGCACCAGTAACTCACAAAAGACCAATCTCTCTCAGCAGACCAGTCTTACCCTCCAAGATACCAGCCTCTCTCAACAGACCTGCCTCTCTCAACAGACCATTCTTACCATACAAGAAACCAATCTCTCTCAGCAGACCAGTCGTAATATACAAAAGACCAATCTCTCTCAACTGACCAATCTTACCCTTTAAGATACCAGCCTCTCTCAACAGACCATTCTTACCATACAAGAGACCAGCCTCTCTCTAAAGATTAGTCTTATCCTACAATAGACAAGCCTCTCTCAACACACCAGTCCTACCATACAAGACACAGATCAGTCGTAACATACAATAGACCAGCCTCACATAACAGACATTAGACTCCAACCACTCTCAAAAAGACCAGCCTTACCATACAAATACAAGAGACCAGTCGATCTCAAAAGACCAGTCAGACCTATCAAGAATTCAAAGTGACAGATATTTGTGCACTGCAGTACAAGCCTGATGCTACTGTCTACTTCAAAGTGCATTAGCTGATAGCTGGCAATTGCTAAGGTCGTAAGATTATGATCTCGTCTGTAGCCCCTGTCAAGTTGTACAAGAGCAGAAAAAAAGATAAAAGCTGTCATATTTGAGCACCTAAAAGCAAGTCATAAACACACCTTTTTATGATGATTTCCCTGATTTTAAAAATATGTTGCCATTTTGATGTTTCTTTATGTGACGTTTATTCAAAGAATAAATTTAAATAATAAACACATTTTTTTGTATTACATTTTTTGTAAAATAAGTAAACATTAAGCAGTATTAATGTGATTAGTGTGTTATGTCTCATTCATAATATATCTGACAATACGGTTTCTGCTTTTACTATTATCATTCTACAAACCCAGCACCCACCAGATTAAGTAAAATAAACTGTGAGAATAGAAAGATGTAATAAATAAAGCATAACCTTCAACATTTAACAAGTCTAGTGCTAAATACAGACAGTCGAAAGCGATAAAGCCATACTAAAACATCTCTACTAAAAATTAAACTGACCAAACAATGTAGAATAAACTCAAATAATTTAAATAAGAGCCCAAAACTATAATCTAAATATTATGAAGTGCTAATTATAACTTAAAAACATAAACATAACTAAATCACGTTCATTGGACAAAACGAACGAACGCGGCTGAGACCGAAATTCTCGGTCTGCGCGCGCACAGATAGACGGTTTGCACCGAGAATTTTAGACCGAGCAAACCGTCTATCTTTTTAAACCTGCTATAATTTTGTAAATATTAACAAAACTCATTTTAAAACGCTACAGTATAGTCGGTAGAGAGTTTCTTCGGGGATATCATTAAAAAAAAATTGTGTTAGAGCGATCGAGAAGGAAATAATCAGTTTTTTGTCTCTCCTGTAAAATTTACATTTTCGGAGTTAGACGGTTTGCGACCGAGACCATCGATATATATATGTATATATATATATATATGTATATATATATATATATATATATATATATATATATATATATATATATATATATATATATATATGTATGTATATATATATATATGTATATATATATATATATATATATATATATATATATATATATATATATATATATATATATATATAATTTAAAATAAGTAGCTTTAAACATGATATTATATTTATTCATATAAAAACATACAAATGTTTCGCACAAAAAAAAATATTAAAGTATTTTAGCTTATTCTGCTATTATAATACAATCAGTAATCAAATTATATAACTAATTATTAAATTATATTTACAATGGTATGGCCTTGCATGCCGTTTGAAAGTTTCGTTAAATCTGGCCCAATTTTTTTTGTTTTCAGTTTCAATAACGCATCCGTTTTTATTTCTTAGTTGCCTTCTTTCTTTAATTTTTTGCTCGCATGAATATATTGACCCGAAAATCCTCAGCACTCCATTACAAATTTCTTCACCTCACTGTAGCATCCTGCAAGACTTTTTCATACGTCACGTATGATTGCCTCAACTGGCGGAATTTCTTTTAGAGCTGTCCAGTTGTGCAGCGTAACGTGCATGTTTTACTGGACCTCCAACTATTTTTACTTGCTCTTGAGTTCTATGAATGTACTGCTCCACAAATGTGTTGTTTTCAAATCCAGCAAAGACATTTGAATGGAACCAGCATCAATTCCAAACAGCTCAAAGTTAAACTAATTTGGTTTTGTGTTGAGATAATGTACTATGAACTTCAGTGTACTTGGATTTGCTATTAATTGCTCAAATACCTCAGTGAATCCATCCTTCATTGTGTTTATTTTAATGTGGAAGTAATTCATGTTAATAGTAGCATTGGTTTCATCACGATATTTTTTTCCAGATTTTTCGTAATCAAGTAATTTACCGCTCTCCGTGTCTTCAAGAAAAAAATGTAATTTTTTTAGAAAAAAATCTGGATCAGAGTTTCATCCACGCATCACTTCGGGAGCCCTCCCCCCCCCAACCTCAATCGCCGAATAAAGTCTACCGCCCCCCCGAACAAAAGGAATTTATATAGAAAATATATACTTTTCGTAGTGTCCACCGCCCCGCCCCCTCACCCCTCCCCTCTTTTTTTTTTAGAAAAAAATGTCTGCAAGAAACACTGTTCGGGATGGACAGTTTTAAAGGAAGTTCATTGAAATAGGGAGTAATTAAACATTCTAATAGAATAGAGAGTGATTATTGTTTATATGTATTATTATGTCGTTTTCGTACAAAAAACGTTATGAGTTTTGAAAAGAAAATAAAAAAAAAATGATTGTGCATGGAGCTGAAGAGCCGCATCTTGCCATCAAAAGAGCCGCATGCGGCTCTCGAGCTGCAGGTTGCCGACCCCTGCACTAGGTGGGTGGTAATGCAAGTACCCTTTTACCTTCTCGTATACAGCGTATAAAGAAAGTAGAGAGGAAATAATTTGCTAAAAGTAGATTTGTTTTCGCCACAGAATGACTAAGAGAGAAAAAAAAAAACAAAAAAGATTGATCTACCTAAATGCGTTATACAAACAAGGTTATCACATTTTCAAATACATCAAATTTTGGTTCCCTTGTAAAAGAGACAAGATATTTTCGTTTATTCTCATGTAAAAGAGCTGTGTGGCGGGGAACGCCCCCCCCCCCCCCCACCGAAGATCGTGTACAGCCCACACCCCCCCCCCCCCCCCAGGACAAAATGGAATTTACACAGAAAATATATACTTTTACCATTGTCCGCCTCCCCCGTAAATTTCAAGTGCCCCCCGGAGAAAAAAAGTCTGGAAGAAACGCTGTACTGACCCTACACAGCGCGTGCAAAAACAAGTAAAAAGAGAATAAAATCGATTAAGATTTTCTCCACTTTGCGTATCACGTTAGGTGTGCACGTGTTAGTTAACCCAATAATTTGATTGGTCGCTATGTCACATGACCAGCGATCTGCTTGCTGGCATAACTTACCTAAAGTGTGGGTGAGGGGTGGGGGGGGGGGTTGAATAAGAATGCTGTTAACTGGC